GCTTTAATAGCATTCCTTTCCCCCGCCCAGCCTCAACTCTGCACTGGCAGCGTGAAGATGGGTGTAACCCGTGCAAGGTGAACAAAGTATACAATGTTCTTCAGGAACTCATAGGAGGAGCTAGGCTGGGGGGAGGGGAAGGCTCTTCTTGCCACTGAGCATGATGGTTTGAATCTGATCCCAGTGCCCACAAGATGGAAGGAGAGAATCCATCCCACAGGTTGTTCTCTGGCCTCCACACAAATAAATAAGTGATAATAAATAAATGCAATAAAAGAAAACAGGCTGGGCGGTAGTGGTGCACACCTTTAATCCCAGCACTCGGGAGGCAGAGGCAGGCAGATCTCTGTGGGTTCGAGGCCAGCCTGGTCTACAGAGCGAGTTGCAGGACAGAAAACCAACAGAGTGTCTTTAGGATATGTCTCAGCAGCCTGCTGTGAAGACAGGCACTGTGCGTGTGTGCGTGTGTGCACATGTGCGTGTGTGCGTGTGTGCGTGTGTGCACATGTGCGTGTGTGCATGTGTGCGTGTGTGCCCATGGCGTGTAGGACTGGGGTATTGTGCATGCAGCGGGATGCAAGGATGTGGTGTGTGGCTGAGACCCGAGTTTTAGGCATGAGCAGATGATCTAAATGTATCTGTGGACATGGTACAGGAAAGGGGAGTCGGGATGCCAGAAGAGTATACCCTGGAAGCTTGGGTGGGGCATGTGTATGAGATCCACATACGTGGTATGTGGGGGGACATGTGTCAATGCTTGTGAGTCTGTCACGTGTATGTGGGAGTGTGCGGTGAGTTCAGGTGACTAAAATCTGTTCGGCTAGTAGACAGATGCCGGAGATGAAACTGGGTCACACACTTCCAGGCAGCTCCAGCTGCTAGCCCCAACCCCCTCCACTGCCAGCCCTGTCCCCAACGGAACACATGGACCCGGGTGTGCACTCCAGACCTTAAGGGAGAGGTCACTGCATATTCCCCGGTGGAGCCATCCCCACGAAGGCACCTGTGTGTGTACATGGGAGGTTCATGATATGGGGTGCAGGGAGTGTGGAGTGTGGGTGATGGTTGATAGGGACTTTCAGAGGAGGAAGAGAAGTGGCCAGGAACAGCAATGAATGAATCAGTTGGTCACCCTGTGTTTACTCTTCTTTGCCCCACATTGCCCTCTCATTTCCATCTTGCTCTAGTCTCTCTCTCTCAAATATTTATTGTTAGTTATGTGTAGGTATGTGTGTTTGTGTGCAGTACTCAAGAAGGCCAGAAGAGGGTGACAGATCCCCTAGGGCTGATGTTACAGGCAGTTGTGAGCTGCCTGGCATGCATGTTAGAAGCCAAACTCAGGTCCTCAGTAAGATCAGCAATCTCTGCTGCCCACTCTGCTCTTTTCTACTTTATCTTTTAATATTTTTTGCGTGTGTGTGTGTGTGTGTGTGTGTGTGTGTGTGTGTGTGTTGGGGTGGGCATGAGTGTGGAGACCAGAGATGGATATCGGTTTATCTCTCTTCACCACAGTTTCTGAGACAGGCTCTCTCGATGAACCCGGAGCTCACTGACTGGCTAGTCTGGCCTCTTGTCTCCCCCTCCTAAGCACTGGTGATACAGGTGTGCACTGCCACACCCAGTTGTGTACCTGGGCACTGGGGATCTGAACTCAGGTCCTCATGATTGCTCAGCAAGTACTCTACCCACTGAGACACCTCCCCGGATCCTTTGTTTTATTTTACTTTTAGTGTGTGTGTGTGTGTGTGTGTGTGTGTGTGTATGTGTGTGTGTGTGTGTGTGTGATGTCATTGCACCCATGTGGAGGTCAAAGGACCACCTGTAGAAGTCAGTTTGTCAGTTTTCTCTTTTCACCACCTTCTGGAGATCAAATTCAGGCTTGGTTGCAAGTGCCTTTACCCATAGAATCATCTCACTGGCCCACTGTCGGATTTTATTTTATTTTCTCTTACTCAGGATCTCTTACTCAGAATTCCTCAGAACTCACTCTGTAGCTCAAGATGGTCTTGAACTCATAACCCCGCCCCAGCCTCTCAGGCTCCTGAGTCCTGAGATAACAAGCACGCACCACCACACCTAGCTCAGTTTGGACTCTTTTTTGCTCTCTGTTGCCTAATCTTCCATCTCTGGGACATATAGTGAGATTTTCTTTTTCGAGACAGGGTTTCTCTGTGGTTTTGGAGGCTGTCCTGGAAACTAGCTCTTGTAGACCAGGCTGGTCTTGAACTCACAGAGATCTTCCTGCCTCTGACTCCCGAGTGCTGGGATCAAAGGTGTGCGCCACCAACGCCCAGCTTCAAATACTGAGAATTTTAGAACAAAGAAATTAATTAGTATACACACTGTGTGTGTGTGTGAGAGAGAGACAGAGAGAGAGAGAGAGAGAGAGAGAGAGAGAGAGAGAGAGAGAGAGAGAGAGAGAGAGAGAAATTTGGGGGTTAGTTTTCTTCCTCTATGTGAGTCTTTAGGATTGAAGGGCCTTAACCTACTGAGCTTCCTCTCCAAGCCTCACAACCTCTACAACATCGTCATCAGCTGGGAAACAGGCTTTGAAAGTTTGAGGCTGTAGGAGGAGGGCGGTTCAGATTCAAGCCACAACACAAAGAGACTGCCAGGGAAGGGGAGATGGCCTTCAGAGGGCTTCCCCGACCCTTGACAGGCTAAGGGCTCTGAGGTAGCTGGGGAAGACTGAGTGCGTGTCCAGTTTTGCTGTTCCCCTGAAGCAGGGCCCCCTCCCCCCAAAAAAAACACCAAGGAAGCAGTAGCTGCAGAGAAAGACAACGACAGGGAGGAGCGTGGATGCTCAGCCAGGGCAGGGTTCCCAGTCTCAGGCTCCAAAAAAAGGCTAGAAACCAGGGCTGGTCAGAAACCAAGGTTTCACAACGCCGACTTCGTTTAAGGGGTGATGCTTGCCCTGAGACGGGAGGACACTGTGTCCCTGCACCTTCCTCCGGTCCTCCCCACACCCCCAGCTACAGCTCCTCAAACAGGGAGAGACTGCAGGCCTTTGAGGGCGCTCTCCCAGTCATTGATTTCCTGCTGCCCCCTTGCTCTGCCTTAGTAAGCCCAGACAGACAGAAGGGCAGACTCTCCCTGGAAGGAGAGAGCAGTCTGACTGGTGCTTGGCCAGCCCAAAGCCCCAGTGGATGAAATATTAATTCAGCAGGAAGGTGGAAGACAGGCTGAGGACTCACCCTTGGGACTCTGGGGTGGCAGAGCTGGCAGTAGCAGCTGCAGCCTGCCCTTTTACCCACTCCCGACCTTTGTTCTGTAAGGATCTTAGACACACACACACACTCACACACACACACACACACACATGCACGCACGCACGCACGCACCAAAGACACAGGCAAAGAAACCTGTGGGGCAGAGGAGGGGTGGGGAGCAGGGCTCACACAGACAGGCAGCCACAGATGGCCGAATCTTCTTACAGATCTACATGCCAGACTCACAAGCTCACAAGACACAGGAATCCACAGCGATTTCCCTCCCTCCCTCCCCCTCCATCTCTCTCTCTCTCTCTCTCTCTCTCTCTCTCTCTCTCTCTCTCTCTCTCTGTCTGTCTGTCTCTCTCTCTCTGTCTCTCTCTCATGTGTGTATGTATGTGTGTCATGCCTGCATGTATGTATGTGCATCACGTGTATACCTGTGTGCCTGGTGCCTATGGAGATTAGAAGAGGGTATGGGAGTCAGGCTTGGTATAAGAAGTGCACACCTTTAATCCCAGCACTCAAGAGGCAGAGGCAGGCGGATCTCTGTGGGTTGCAGCCCAGTCTACATAGTGAGTTCCAGGCCAGTCAGAGCTCTGACTCCACTTGAAAAACAAACCCAAACAAAAAACCCACCTAACAAGAGAAAGGAAAGAAAGATATAAAGAAGAGGGCGGCAGGTCCTCTGGAACTGGAGTTTACAGATGGTTGTGACCACCGTGTAGGTCCTGGACACAGAACCTCTGTCCACTGCTCTTTGCTGCTGACCCATCTCTCCAGACCTCCAAAAACTTCTTAAATTTCACGTTCTGACTCTCCTCACTCAGGTCCTGTCCCTTCTAGATAGTTCTGGCCTGTCTAACATTGCCTGAGGAGATACCTAAGGGGAGCCACTCCTGGGACTGACGCAGGAACAGTTAACACTCCTGCATTGCGGAGACTTCTGGAACCCCTTCCTGGCTGTTGCTGAGTGTCTCCTGTTCAGCATGCTCAGTGAGAGGATGAAAATGGGACAGTCGCTGGTGCAGACAGGCAGCCGGAAGCCACACACGAAGCAGCTAAACACTGACCTGAACTCAGGATCCCATGACTTCCAGCCTAGAAAAACCAAAGGCCTGTCCAGCCCATTCTCAAGCTCCTTTGGCCAGGCCTGGGGCCCCACACCTGTAGCCCTAGCACTCAGGAGCCCAAGGCAGGGGCATGACGGTTGCTGTGAGTTTGAGGTCAGCCAGGGACACACAGCAACACTGTCTCACAGAACCTCGCTGAGGAGGAAGCTTGGTATATGTCAGGTACAGGGCTGGGTGTGTGTGCATGATCCCAGCATAATGGAGACAGAGGATCAGAAGCTCAATGTCATCCTTAGTTACACAGTGAATGTGAGCTCCAGCAAGGAGTGCATGAGACACTACTAAAAAAGAAGAAATGGAGGGAGGACAGGGGGTGGACAGGATAAAAGAACTCTCTCCCCAGTGGGTTTTATTTTTACACCCCTACACAGCCTACCTGGCCCATCCACCAGGACACAATGACAAGGACATCTTTGGAAGTGTCCCCTAGCTGTCTAGCTACGCCCAGCCTACAGGGAAAATGCTGGTAAGAACTCTAGATACCGAGGGCCGTGCCCAGTTCCAAATTAATAACTGCTTTTGCTTTTAGGCAGCACTCACTAGACATGCCCCGCCCCCTGCTGGGCCCCGCATCCGCAGCACCAGGTACTCCAGGCCTGCAGAGGGCGATGGAAACCGCGGACTCCGGGATGCTCTAGCCACCAAGCAGACCAGGAGGCCGCCTCGATGGTGGTGCGCTGTCCAGCATTTCAGCAATCGGCAGCTGCGCCCGAGGGAAGACGGGGGCGCGGGGCCGTGGGGAGGCCACAGAGCAGCCTTTCGAAGCAAAAGATCGGGGACAAACGGAACCTGGAAGCCCAGCTGCAGCACCCAGAAGACTGCAGAGGTCAGCGGGGAGGTAAGAGCCTCTGATGGGGCGGGGGTGTTTCCCAGAGGGGCTGGGCTGGGCTGGACCTCAGGCCTCCCCAGCCAGAGGACCCAGATGTGCAGAGGATCAGTGTTGAGGGGCTGATTGCTGTAATTATCTGTCCGAGGGGTCGGGAGAGGTAGAATTGGAGACAGAGAATGGGGTTCTTTTCACCTAGACTGATGGAGAAAGTGTGAATTCAAGGGTCAAGGGGAAGACTCTCCTGGACATAAATTGACCATGCTCCAGCCCATCAGCATTCCAAGAAGGCCATCATCCAGTTGCCCTCCCCCCAGCTCAGGGGAAGCACCTGCTCCCGAGGGAAAGGAGACCCAGATGCAGGGACACTGTAGACACCCAATCACTTGCAGAGGTGGGGAGAGCAGGCCACCCTCCCAAAACTGGATGCTGGGCCTCTCTCCAGCAGGGGGATGCCTGCATTAGGGACAGTCTGGCCTTTTCCCCAGCTACCCAAATGCCCCGGGGAGGCAGGCGCTGGCAGTGAGAACTGGGTCTCTCACAGACTGGCATTTATTCTCACACTGGGAATCGGATTGAGGTTGCAGATGTGAAAATAGCCACAGGAGTTTGGAAGGACATTCTGCAAGAATTCTTAAGACCCAGGGTGGGTCTAGCCTTGTAGCAGATCTCTGGTAAAGGACTGTGGAGAACAACACAGACTCTGGCTTCTCCCACTTTCTTCCGAGGGCTCCTGTCTGGTCAGGGAGACCTCCTGCAGCTCTTGTTTCTGACAGCTTGTCCAGGAAGATGTGGCTCTCTCTTCCCAGCCATAACTTCTCATGCCCCCCCACCTCTCCACTCACCTGCTCCCGGCATGATCATACCTGGACTCATCTTTTATCCTGCATCAAAAGCAAAAGCGGTTACTTTGAAGGGCAGTAAGAGTTCTTCCACCCAGGGAGTCATCTTAAGGTCATGATCTGGGCTGGTACCAGGTTCCCCCCTTCACAACCCAGAAATAGAACTCTGTTGACTAGGAAATCACTCCTACAGAACACTAGTTTGGGGGTTACTTGACTTTATATCCTATACCACTCTCCTAGGTGGGGTGGAGGAGGTATTCTTGGAGGATGACTAAAGAGGGTGGATTGGGTTTTCAGAGGTGGGTGGTTCGAAAGTCATGGACTCTGAATTTAAAAAGACATGGAATTAAATGTAGGTTATGTGAGTTAAGGTAAACCCTTAACCTTTCTGAGATTGCCTCCTAATGTGTAAACTCTCTTTTGTTGTTGAGGATGACTCTTGAATTGCTTACTGAGAGAGTGGGCAGGATCTTTTGTGGTTAAACTACTGGGATAATCTATATAATGAATGGGAAGCTGTTTAAACAGTAAGGTCAGTGAGATTGCTCAATGATATAAAAGCATTTGCCTCCAAGCCTGACAATCTAGGTTCAATCCCTTGGTCCCACATTATGGAAGGAGAGAACCAAATCCCACAAGGTGTCCTCTGACCACATGTTCACCGTCACTCATGTCTCTCCCCCCCACTAATAAATAAATGTAAACTAGCCCGGAGGTGGTGGCACACGCCTTTAATCCCAGAATTTGGGTGGCAGAGGCAGGTGGATCTCTGGGTACAAAGTCAGGACTGCACAAAGAAACCCTGTCTTGAAAAGCAAAACAAAGAAAAAAAACCCCAAAACTATAAGATGCTAAAAATGCCGGATGAATGCTAGTGAAGAGATTACAAGTAAACGTTCCTTACAGAGATACAGAGAGGTGTCTGAAGTCTGGCTTTGGACTCCCCAAAGACATTTCCGTTGGGAACCATATTAATCGAGGGTATCCACCAGGTATTCACCGGCTTCCATACTTGGCATAAGGCTGCAATGAACCCAGCTAATCCTCACCAACGCTTCCCTAGGAAGATCTCATTGGTGCTTTTTAGAGCTGAGAAATGAGGCTTAGATGACTTTTTCAAGGTCACAGAGCCACTTAATCTATCTTCCCCGGGGCAGAAATATTGCTGATGACCTGTCCCAACCTCTGGTTGTCAAGGTCCAGAATACATGTCAGTCTCCTCACTCAGGATGTCAGCTTGCAGGTGTGGAAACTGAGGCACAGTTGAGATGACTGTCCCAAGGTCACTGGGATGTTTGGTGGCAGAACATACTTTGAACTGGCATCTGTGCACCCCTCCTGCAAGCCTGCCCAAGGAGAGAAGTCCCATCTGGTCACCCTGCCTCCTCCACCCAGCTGACCTCAGCAAGCCAGTGGCTGCCAGTTACCTCCTGAGTGGTTAACTCTCACCCCCCACACACACACAGCTGCCAACCCTGTTGGAATCCACCTCCTTTTCTACCCGCATCTCCTCCTCAGCCCACATATAACTCACTCTGGGGCCAACACCAGGGCTTCCTGATCTTAGAAGTAGGATAGGGAGATGATGAGGGAGGGGATTACACGGTCGCATCAATTTTTTGTTTTCTTGCAGTTCTGGGGGGGGGATCTTAGGCCTTGCACACGCTAAGCAAGTACTTTCTCATTCAACTACATCCCCAACCTGTGTCTCTGCCTTAACCTGCTCTGAACTATCACATGACTGTGACCTCCACACACCCACTCATCTGGTCAAGAGATGCTACCGTCTTCCCTCTGCAGAGGATCCAAACAAGACCTACACGTATGACATGGTTTTTTTTTTATCAAGGACTTGGTGTGCTCTAAGACTGCTGTCTCTGGGGACCAGAGTGGCTTCCAGAACACTATGCTGTTCTCAGTTCTCCATGCTCTCCTGGGTAACCAGAGCACTGTAGACTAGGAGAATTCAGGCATAACGTGGGGTGAGAAAATGGCAGGGCTGGGGACAGGAGTCCAAGGGTATTTCTGAGCCCGCTCCAGTCCTGACTTCTTGTTTGACCTTCAACAAGTCCCTTCAAATCTCCTACGCCCAGTGTCCCTGTGTAGAAAGTGATAGAATCTCACAAGATGACCACCCAAAGTTCCCATCAGCACCAGGAATTTTAAGATCTCTCTACTCAATAAATCTTACGTCAGGCAGGCTTGATAGTGAAGGCCTGTGATCCCAACTTTGGAAAGCTGAGGTAGGAGGATTTTTAGGTCAAGATGAGTCTGGGCAAAAGAATGAATTCAAGACCAGCTTAGACAACTTAGCAAGACCCTGTGTCAAAGTAAAAATAGGCCCAGAGATACAATTCAGTGGTAGATGATTTGTTTAGTAAGTGAACTAGGGTCCCATCCCTTCTAATGGGCGTGCACGCACGCATGCGTGCGAGCGCACACACACACACACACACACACACACACAAATCTGGAGGCTGAGGACAGGGCTCAGTCAGTAGCATTTGTTATCTAAACATGAGGACCTGAGTTTGGATCCCCAACACCCACACAAAAACCTGGGCACTATGGTATACATCCACAATCCAACCATTGGGAAGATGGGAAAAAAAGCTAGAGCCCTCTGGTCAGCCAATTTAGCTAATCAGCAATCTCCAGGTTTAGTGAGAGACCCTGTTCCAAAAAATAAAGTGGAGAGCAGTTGAGAAAGACACCCACCGTCAACATCTGACCTTCACATTCATATAAACACACATGCATTTACACCCACCTACACCCACACCCACACACCCACCCCCCCCCACACACACACGTGCGCGCGTCAGGAAGCCTGTGGTTCAGTCAACAGAAGCAGAAGTTACCTCCAGTGTTGTAAGGTTTGATCTATCAGCTGCTGCAGCTGAGATTTCAAAATCCACCTGTCCTTCCCAACGACAGAATCAACTTCCAGAGGGGGAAACCTAACCTAGAGAGGCCTCCTGGCTGCTCTGAGGGTCCCAGATACCATGCGGAACGAAGATTAAACACCTCTCCAGTCTGAATTTGGAGTGACCAGCTAGGACACCACAAATGCCCTCCATATACCTACCAGGGCTGTTCATGAAAGCCGGGGAGGCCCCAGCACTCTCCACACAGGACAGAAACAAGGGGGGGCTGCTGGCTGAGGGCACTTTGGGGAATCAGGGAGAGAAAGGACTTTTGCAGCTGATTTCTATGGGGAAGGCTGGACCTGAACAGGAGTGTCTTGTTAGGACAACTAATACAAGAGGGCCGGGAGTAAAGAGAGACCTGCCTGGTTGTGACACAGAGAAGGGCCGGGGAGCTGAGGGAGGGGGGAATTAATGGAGGGACCTGCCGAGGGGCAGAAGCCTCTGCAAGGAGAAGGGATTCACAGACGTGACCCTGAAGGACAAGTGTGACCAGTGAGTTGGGAGAAGGGAGCTGGGCTGTAACATGGAGAGGAAAAGGAAGGAGGTCAGGGGTCAGGAGAGGGCTCAGTAGAGGAAGCGATTGCTGCACAAACACTCGAACCTGAGTTCAATCCCCAGCCCCAATATTAAAAAAAAAAAAAGCTAAGCAGATGGTGCACACTTGTAATCCCAGCACCAGGGAGGCAGACTCGGGCAGGTCCCTGGGACTCTCTGCACAGCCTAGGCCAACTTGCAAGCCCCAGATAGAAAGTAGAGGCCCTGCCTCAAAGTACAAGGTGAAGAGACCCAGGTGGACAGCTGAGAGGGTCGGGGCTTGTGACGCCAGACTTCGTCACCCAGTTTGATCCCAGGGACTCACGAGGTGAGATGGGAAGACCAAGTCCCACAAGCTGTCCTCTGATTGTCATGCATGCCTTAGCACACGTGTGCATGCACACACACACACACACACACACACACACACGCACACACGCATGCGCACACAAATGGGAAGGAAGGTGGAGAAGTAGGAAGTAAGAGACAGGGTGAGAGGTCCAGAGGCTTTGATAGGGAGAAATTCACAGCCAGGTCTCACAACTGCAGTCTGGTCCAGCCCTGTCCATCGCGTGGTGACACCGTGCTTTCTTGCTCCTTCACTGACTTCTGGGTCACGGGCACAGGAGGACAGCAGTTCCATTTGCGCCCTAGCCCTCTTAGCCCTGCGTCATTCAAAATGAGACTCTTGGGGGGGGGTTGG